CAGGAACGCAAACACACCCATTAGCAGAGAGGCTGCCTAAAATCATTATAAGGTCACAGACACCCCAAAACACACCACCAGACATGGTCCTGACCACCAGAAAGAAAAGATCCAGCCTCATCCTCCAGAAAGGAGGCAGCAGTGCCCGCCACCAGGAAGGCTAGACAACCCACTGAACCAACTATAGCCACTGGGAGCAGACACCAAAAATAATTGGAACTACGAACCTGCAGACTGAAAAATGGAGAACCCAAACACAGTAACTTAAGCAAAATGAGAATACAGACAAACACACAGCAGATTAAGGAGAAAGGCTAAAACCCACCAGACGAAACAAATGAAGAGGAAATAGGCAGTCTACCTGAAAAAAAAATCATAATAATGATAGTAAAGATGATCCAAACTCTTGGAAATAGAATGGAGAAAATACAAAAAGGTTCAACAAGGACCTAGAAGAAATAAGAGCAAACAAAAAATGATGAAGAATACAATAAACGAAATTTAAAATTCTCTAGAAGGAATCAATAGCAGAATAACTGAGGTAGAAGAATGGATAAGTAACCTGGAAGATAAAATAGAGGAAATAACTACTGCAGAGCAGAATAAAGAAAAAAAGAATGAAAAGAATTGAGGACAGTATCAGAGACTTCTAGGACAAAATTAAACAAACCAATATTCGAATTATAGAGGTCCCAGAAGAGAAGAGAAAAGAAAGGGTCTGAGAAAATATTTGAAGGTTAAAGATGAAAACTTCCTTAATATGGGCAAGTCAATAGTCAGTCAAGTCCAGGAAGCACAGAGAGTCCCATACAAGATAGAAACAAGGAGAAACAAACAAAGACACATATTAATCAAACTACCAAACATTAAATACAAAGAAAAAAATTTAAAAGCAGCAAGGGGAAAGCAAGAAATAGCATACAAGGGAATCCCCATAAAGTTAACAGCTGATCTTTCAGCAGAAATTCTGAAAGCCAGAAGGGAGTGGCAGGACATATTTAAAGTGATGAAAAGGAAAACCCTACAAGATTACTCTAACCAGCAAGGATCTCATTCAGATTCATCAGAGAAATTAAAACCTATACAGACAAGGAAAAGCTAAGAGAATTCAGCACCACAAAACAAGCTTTACAACAAAAGCTAAAGGAACTTCTCTAGGCAGGAAACAGAAGAGAAGGAAAAGACCTACAATAACAAACCCCAAACAACTAAGAATGGTAATAGGAAAATACATATTGATAATTACCTTAAATGTAAATGGATTAACTGCTCCAACCAAAAGACATAGACTGGCTGAATGGATACAACAACTAAACCCGTATATATATGCAGCTTACAATAGACCCACATCAGACCTAGGGACACATACAGACTGAAAGTCAGGGGATGGAAAAAGATATTCCATGCAAATGGAAATCAAAAGAAAGCTGGAGTAGCAATTCTCATACCAGACAAAATAGACTTCAAAATAAAGACTATTAAAAGAGACAAAGAAGGACACTACATAATGATCAAGGGGTCAAACTAAGAAGAAGATAGAACAATTGTAAATATTTATACACCCAACATAGGACCACCACAATACAAAGGCAAATGATAACAGCCATAAAAGGGGAACTCGATAGTAACACAATCATAGTAGGGAACTTTAACACCTCACTTTAACCAAAGGGCAGATCATCCAAAATGAAAATAAATAAGGAAACACAAGCTTTATATGATACATTTAACAAGATAGACAATTGATATTTATAGGACATTCCATCCAAAAAAAGCAGAATAAAATTTCTTCTCAAGTGCTCATGGAACATTCTCCAGGAGGAGTCATATCGTGGGTCACAAATCAGGCCTTGGTAAATTTAAGAAAATTGAAATCATATCAAGTATCTTTTCTGACCACAACACTACAAGAGTGGATATCAATTACAGGAAAATATCTATAAAAATTAAAAATACATGGAGGCTAAAATATACACTGCTAAATAACCAACAGATCACTGAAGAAATCAAAGAGGAAATCAAATCATTGTGTAAACACAATGACCCAAAACATATGGGATGCAACAAAAGCAGTTCAAAAAAGGAAGTTTATAGCAATACAATCCTACCTCAATAAACAAGAAACATCTCAAATAAAAAACTTAACCTTGTAACTAAAGCAGTTAGAGAAAGAACAAAAAAAAAAAAGCAAAAGTTAACAGAAGGAAAGAAATCATAATGATCAGAGCAGAAATAAATGAAAATGAAATTAAGGAAGCAATAGCAAAGAGCAATAAAACTAAAAGTTGGTTACTTGAGAAGAAAGACAAAATTGATAAACCATTAGCCAGACTCATCAAGAAAAAAAGGGAGAGGACTCAAATCAATAGAATTCGAAATGAAAAAGGAGAAGTAAAAACTGACACTGAAGAAATACAAAGGATCATGAGAGATTAGTAAAAGCAACTATATGCCAATAAAATGGACAACCTGGAAGAAATGGACAAATTCTTATAAAAGCACAACCTTCCGAGACTGAACCAGGAAGAAAGATAAAATATAAACAGACAAATCACAAGCACTGAAATTGAGACTGTGATTAAAAATCTTCCAACAAACAAAAGCCCAGGACCAGATGGCTTCACAGGTGAATTCTATCAAACATTTAGAGAACAGCTAACACCAATCCTACTCAAACTCCTACAAAATATAGCAGAGGGAGTAACACTCGCAAACACATTCTACAAGGTCACCATCACCCTGATACCAAAACCAGACAAAGATATCACAAAAAAAGAAAACTACAGGCCAGTATCACTGATGAACATAGATGCAAAATTCCACAACAAAATACTATCAAACAGAATCCGACAGCACAGTAAAAGGATCATACAACATGGTGAAGTGGGGTTTATCCCAGGAATGCAAGAATTCTTCAATATATGCAAATCAATCAATGTGATACACCATATTAACAAACTGAAGGATAAAATCCATATGATCATCTCAATAGATGCAGAAAAAGCTTTCAACAAAATTTAACACCCATTTATGATAAAAACCGTACAGAAAGTAGGCATACGGGGAACAGACCTCATCATGATAAAGGTCGTATATAACTAACCCACAGCCAATATCGTTTTCAAAGGTGAAAAACTGAAACCATTTCCACTAAGATAAGGAGCAAGACAAGGTTGCCCACTCTCACCACTCTTATTCAACATAAGTTTTGGAAGTTTTAGCCACAGCAGTCAGAGAAGAAAAAGAAATAAACGGAATCCAAATCCGAAAAGAAGAAATAAAGCTGTCACTGTTTACTGATGACATGATACTATACACACAGAATCCTAAAGATGCTACCAGAAAACTAATAGAGCTAGTCACTGAATTTGGTAAAGTAGCAGGATACAAAATTAATGCACAGAAATCTCTGGCATTCCTATACACTAGTGATGAAAAATCTGAAAGAGAAATTAAGGAAACACTCCCATTTACCACCGCATCAAAAAGAATAAAATACCTAGGAATAAACCTACCTAAGGAGACAAAAGATCTGTATGCTGTAAACTATAAGAAACTGATGAAAGAAATGAAAGATGATACAAATAGATGGAGAGATATACCATGTTCTTGGATTGGAAGAATCAACATTGTGAAAATAATTATACTACACAAAGCAATCTACAGATTCAATGCAAACCTTACCAATGGCTTTTTTCACAGAACTAGAATAAAATATTTCACAATTTGTATGGAAATGGAAAAGACTCCTATTAGCAATCTTGACAAAGAAAAATGGCTTTGGAGGAATCAGGCTCCCTGAGTTCAACTATACAACAAAGCTACAGTAATCAAGAAAGTATGGTATTGACACAAAAGCAGAACTATAGATCAATGGAACAGGATAGAAAACCCAGAGATAAACCCAGGCACATATGGTCACATTATCTTTGATAAAGGAGGCAAAATATACAATGGAGAAAAGACAGACTCTTCAATATCTGGTGCTGGGAAAACTGGACAGCTACTGTAATAGAATGAAATTAGAACACTCCTTTACACCATACAGAAAAATAAACTCAAAATTGATTAAAGAACTAAATGTAAGGCCAGACACTATAAAACGCTTAGAGGAAAACATAGGCAGAACACTCTATGACATAAATCACAGCAAGATCCTTTTTGACCCACCTCCTAGAGAAATGGAAATAAAAACAAAAATAAAAAAATGGGACCTAATGAAATCTAAAAGCTTTTGCACAGCAAAGGAGATGATAAACAAGGCAAAAAGAAACCCCTCAGAATGGAAGAAAATATTTGCAAGTGAAGCAACTGACAAAGGATTAATCTCTAAAATTTACAAGTAGCTCATGCAGCTCAATAACAAAAAAACAAACAACCCATTCAAAAAATGGGCAGAAGACCTAAATAGACATTTCTCCAAAGAAGGCATACAGATAGCCAGGAAACACATGAAAGGATGCTCAACAGCACTAATCATCAGAGAATTGCAAATCAAAACTACAGTGAGGTATCACCTCACACCAGTCAGAATGGCCATCATTAAAATATCTACAAACAATAAACGCTGGAGAGGGTACGGAGAAAATGGATCCCTCTTGTACTGTTGGTGGGACTGTAAATTGGTACAGCCTCTATGGAGAACAGTATGGAGGTTTCTTCAAAACTAAAAATAGAACTACTATACGACCCAGCAATCCCACTCCTGGGATATATCTGAGAAAACCATAATTCAAAAAGAGTCATGTACCACAATGTTCATTGCAGCTCTATTTACAATATCCAGGACATGGAAGCAACCTAAGTGTCCATCGGCAAATGAATGGATAAAGAAGATGTGGCACATATACACAATCTAATATTACTCGGCCATAAAAAAGATGAAATTGAATTATTTTTAGTGAGGTTGATTGACCTAGCATCTGTCACACAGATTGAAGTAAGTCAGAAGATAAAAACAAATACCATATTCTAATACATATATATCAATCTAAAATAAGGTTTTGAAGAACTTAGGTGCAGGACAAGAATAAAGACCCAGACTTAGAAATTGGACTTGAGGATATGGGGAGGGGGAATGATAAGCTGGGACAAAGAGAGTGGCATCGACATATATATACTACCAAATTTAAAATAGATAGCTAGTCGTAAGCAGCTGCAAAGCACAGGGAGATCAGCTCGGTGCTTTTTGACCACCTAGAGGGGTGGGATAGGGAGAGTGGCAGGGAGATGCAAGAGGGAGGAGATATTGGGATATATTTATGGCTGATTCACTTCATTAAAAAGCCAAAACTAACACATCATTGTAGAGCAATTATACTCCAATAAAACTGTTAAAAATATATATATGGTAACTTCTGAATGTATTGATTTTAGCAGTATTGCATTAATAATTAATTTCCAATATTTTTTATTTTAATTATTATTTATTCAAATTTGAAATACAAAAAAGAAAAAGAAAAGAAAATGCCACATTGGTGGCTGGCTTAACCACTGACAAGAGGAAGCAGTCATCTCCATGATATCATTTAAGGGACTCAAAAGCACTTGCACTGCCTCTAAACATGACATCTTTGTTCCGAGTAATTGAACCTAGTAGTGAGAAATATATTCTAGTACTCTCTATGCCACAATCTTATGTGTTACCTGGGGTGGCCTATTTTCCTTCTTTGGTCTTAGTCTTGTCACTTGTACAAGGAGAGCCTTGTATTAGCTGGTCTTTGAGGTCCCTTTCAGTTCTCACATCCTATATTTCCATGATTCAGTCTTTTGAATTAGAGCCCACCAGCATCAAGAAAGCTTATGCAAATGTCTGAATACTATTTATACGCCCTCTGTGTTTGCCTGAGTAAGTTTATGGGAAGTTCACCATTTGGGGAAATGAATCATGTACAGTTTCAAAACCTGAATCTTTATTCACATTCATTAAATGCAGACATTCTCACAATCCAGCATCTCTTCCAGGAAATGTGAACACAATCTAATCTCAGGATATAACCCAGGTTATAGTAGATGGGTCCCTTCTCAGCCTTAGTTTCAAAAACATTTGATCTATTCCTTTGGCTACCTGTTACTCTTTTGCAGTGTATTAGGGAGTGAGGTAGGCAAAATAATGCCTCTCCCAAAGATGTTCATATCTTAATCCCCAGAACCTATGAATATGTTACATGAACAAGAGGAATTAAGGTTGCAGATGGAATTATGGTTGCTTATCAGCTGACAACCCACCTGCAACTGAATATTTTAATTTCACTTTAATTCTCTGCCACTTCCTTATTGTGAAATTTAGGCAAGTTTCTTAAACCTCATTGTGCTTCAGTTCCCTCATCTATAAGATGGAGATAGTAATACCTCACAAGATTGTTTTGACGAATACCTCACAAGATTGTTTTGATGATTACATGAATAAATACATGGTAAGTATATAAATAGCTCCTAGCACATACAAGATACTCAATAAATATTAGTATTACTCGTGAAATCTTCATAAATTTTACTAATAGCTTTGACTGCTATGTTTTAGTCAAAGGAATCCATAATTTCTGCTTCTCTGATTCACTTAAATTTTATAAGAACTATAAGGAGACTTTTCTTTCTGAGGCAGTGTTTAGATATAAAAATAGTGTGAGGCAAAAAAATTATAGATGCCAAAAGGAAATATCAGTTTATAAACAGAGCCTAATTTTGGAGTGTAAACATGTTCCATCTCTCCCCCCACACCTTACTTGAAATGTTTTTCCTTTCACTAATCCAAATCCTTCCTGTCCTAGAAGGATGAGTTTAAATCCCAGGATCTCTTAGAGTCAGGCATACTGTTCTGCACATAATATCTGTTGGATGGATGCACAAAGGAATACAGTGCTGGCACATACTAACAAAGTACAAAGTAGATTCACCAAAATCTAATGAGCTAATGAATACTTAGATTAAAATTGTTATTCTGGCAAAAAGTATGGTTTTGGGGAAGGCAAATACTTTCCTTCAATATTTTTAAAAACAAAAACATTTTTAATTGGGGTATAGTTGTTTTACAATGTTGCGTTAGTTTCTACCATACAGTGAAGTGGAATTCCCTGTGCTATAGAGGAGGCTCTATGAGTTATCTGTTTTATACATATTAGTGTGTATATGTTAATCCCAATCTCCCAATTCATCTCACCCTGCCTATCAACGCTTGGTGTCCATACTTTTGTTCTCTACATCTGTGTCTCTATTTCTTCCTTGCAAACCAGCTCATCTGTACCATTTTTCTAGATTCCACAAATATGCCTTAATGTACAATATTTGTTTTTCTCTTTCTGACTTACTTCACTCTGTATGACAGTCTCTAGGTCCATCCAGGTCTCTACAAATGACCCAGTTTTGTTCCTTTATATGGCTGAGGAATATTCCATTGTATAAAGTACCACATCTTTATTCATCTGTTGATGAACATTTAGGTTGCTTCCATGACCTGGCTATTGTAAATAGTGTGGCAATGAACATTGGAGTGCATGTGTCTTTTTGAATTATGGTTTCTCTGGATACATTCCCAGTAGTGGGATTGCTGTGTCATATGATAGTTCTAGTTTTAGTTTTATAAGGAAGCTCCATACTGTTCTCCATAGTGGCTGTATCAATTTACATTGCCAATAGTGCAAGAAGGTTCCCTGTTCTCAACACCCTCTCGAGAATTTATTGTTTGTAGATTTTCTGATGATGCCCATTCTAACTGTGTGAGGTGATACCTCATTGTAGTTTTGATTTGCATTTACCCAATAATTAGTGATGTTGAGAATCTTTTCATGTGCTGCTTGGATATCTGTATTTTTTCTTTGCAGAAATGCCTATTTAGGTCTTCCACCCATTTTTGCATTGGGCTGTTTGTTTTTTTGATATTGAGCTGCATGAGCAGTTTGTATAATTTGGAGATTAATGCTTTGTCCATTGATACACTTGCAAATATTTTCTCCCATTCTGAGGGTTGTCTTTTCGTCTTGTTTATGTTTTCCTTTCCCGGGCAAAAGCTTTATAAGTTTCATTAGGTCCCATTTATTTTGTTTTTATCCCCATTACACTAGTAGGTGCATCAAAAAGATCTTGTTGTGATTTATGTCCATGAGTGTTCTTCCTATGTTTTCCTCTAAGAGTTTTATAGTGTCCTCTGGTCTTACATTTAGGTCTTTAATCCATTTTGAGTTTATTTTTGTGTATGGTGTTAGGGAATGTCCTAATTTTATTCTTTTACATGTAGCTGTCCAATTTTCCCAGAACCACTTACTGAAGAGACTGTCTTTTCTCCATTGTATATCCTTGCCTAGTTTGTCATAGATTAGTTGACCATAGGTGCTTGGGTTTATCTCTGGATTTTCTATCCTGTTCCATTGATCTGTATTTCTGTTTTTGTGCCAGTACCACACTGTCTTGATTACTGTAGCTTTGTAGTATACTCTGAAGACAGAGAGCCTGATTCCTCCAGCTCCGTTTGTCTTTCTCAAGATTGCTTTAGCTATTCGGGGTCTTTTGTGTTTCCATACAAATTGTGAAATTTTTTTGTTCTAATTCTGTGAAAAATGCCATTGGCAATTTGATAGGGATTGTATTTAATCTGTAGATTGCTTTGGGTAGCACAGTGATTTTCACAATATTGATTTTTCCAATCTAAGAACATGGTATATCTCTATATCCATTTGTGTCGTCTTTGATTTCTTTCATCACTGTCTTATAGTTTTCTGCATACAGGTCTTTTGTCTCCTTAGATAGGTTTATTCCTAGGTATTTTATTCTTTTTGTTGCAATAGTGCATGGGATGGTTTCCTTAATTTCTTTTTCTGATCTTTTGTTGTTAGTGTATAGGAATGCAAGAGATTTCTGTGCATTAATTTTGTATCTTGCAACTTTACCAAATTCACTGATTGGCTCTAGTAGTTTTCTGGTGGCATCCTTAGGATTTTGTAGATATAGTATCATGTCATCTGCAAATAATGACAGTTTTAATTCTTCTTTTCCAGTTTGAATTACTTTTATTTCTTTTTCTTCTCTGATTGCTGTGGCTAGGACTTCCAAAACTATGTTGAATAATAGTGGCAAGTTCCTGATCTTACAGGAAATGTTTTCAGTTTTTCACCATTGAGAATGATGTTTGCTATGGATTTGTCATATATGGCCTTTATTATGTTGAGGAAGGTTCCCTCTGTGCCAATTTTCTGGAGTGTTTTTTATCATAAATGGGTGTTGAATTTTGTCAAAATCTTTTTCTGCATCTATTGAGATTATCATATGGTTTTTATTCTTCAATTTTTTAATATGGTGTATCACACTGATTGATTTGCATATATTAAAGAATCCTTGAATCCCTGGGATAAATCCCAATTGATCATGGTGTACAATCCTTTTAATGTGTTGTTGGATTCTGTTTGCTAGTATTTTGTTGAGAATTTTTCCATGTATATTCATCAGTGATTTTGGTCTGTAATTTTCTTTTTTTGTAATATTTTTGTTTGTTTTTGGTATCAGGGTGATGGTGGCCTTCTAGAATGAGTTTGGGAGTGTTCCTTCCTCTACAGTTTTTTAGAAGAGTTTGAGGAAGATGGGTGTTAGCTTTTCTCTTAATATGTAATAGAATTCATGTGTGAAGCCATCTGGTCCTGGGCTTTATATGTTGGAAAATATTTAATCACAATTTCAATTTCATTACTTGTGATTTGTCTGTTCATATTTTCTATTTCTTCCTGGTTCAGCCTTGGAAAGTTATAACTTTCTAAGAATTTGTCCATTTCTTTGAGGTTGTCCATTTTATTGGCATGGAGTTGCTTGTAGTAGTCTCCTATCATGTTTTGTATTTCTGTGGTGTCCATTGTAACTTTTCCTTTTCCATTTCTAATTTTATTGATTTAAGTCATCTCCCTCATTTTCTTGATGAATCTGGTTGAAAATTATCAATTTTATTTACCTTCTCAGAGAACCAGCTTTTAGTTTTATTGATCTTTGCTATTGTTTTCTTTGTTTCTACTTCATTTATTTCTGGTCTGATTCTTACGATTTCTTTCATTCTATTAACTTTGGGTTTTCTTTGTTCTTCTTTCTCTTGTTTATTTAGGTGTAAGCTTTGACTGTTTATTTGAGATTTTACTTG